GACTCTCTGTAAACCGCTTAGAGAGGGCTGAAAGCCCTATGAAGCGGTATATAAGTCTACTGCTATTGCTAATACTTGTCCCAGCTTCCGCCAACCTAGCAGCTGGAAAGCATGTAAAAATGCAAATAGAAAAATAGGGACCACCTTTGGTGGGAAGGTAATAGAGTTCCGTGTGCCTTCGGCATTTAGTCATGCCGGCCACATGACCACAGAGATGTCTTCGGACAGCGCTGGCTCTTCAGCTTAGAAATGGAGATGAGCACTGCCCCCTAGAGTTGGGAACGACTAGCACATATGTGCAAGGGGAACCTTTACCTTAATATTTTTCGTTTATCAATGTATGAGAATAGAAAACTATATGTGTCCAATTAAATATTCTGGGAATAATGTGTAATCTTTAACAGAAGAAATGGGGATGCCCTCTACAGCAGGGGTCTCCAACCTTGGCAACTTTAAGCGTAGAGGACTTCAACTCCCAGAATTCCCCAGCCAGCAAGCTGGCTGAGGAATTCTGAGAGTTGAAGTCCACCAGGTTTAAAGTTGTCAAGGTGGCTGAGGAATTCTGGGAGTTGAAGTCCTCCAGGCTTAAAGTTGCCAAGATTGGAGACCCCTGCTCTACAGTACATATAGTGCTGAATTACCATTTACAAGACCGCTTGGCTACCTGCTGGGAACTGATCAACAGCGCTGCACTGACCGGGGTTGGTTGTTAGCTGCTGGGAACTATACAGCAATTCTGCAGCACCTGAAGACCGCAGACTCTCCTGCCTCCCGCAGAGGATGGAGTAGAAATCGGACTCAGATTTACAGATGACCTGTTTGCCAAACCGGCAAGGAGTCGCTCAGGGCAGGTCCACTCTAACAAAGCCGCGCGCAGCCATTTCATTCCACGTGCCTTCTCTTGGCTAAGGAGTCGCTTCTCGGTCAAAGGCCGCCGGGTTCCGGCCACCCTTTAAAAGAAGCTGCCTCTTTCGGATTCCCTTGCCGGGAATCCACTTTGAAAGGAGTCGCGCCGGCTGCAAGACGTCCCGCCCCGAGGACATTCCGAGTCCTTGCCCTCTATGAGCTGATTCGCCCAATCCACATCCCCAAGGTGACCGGCAGGAGAAAGGACAACGGCGCGGGTCCCAAGGCGCCCCCATTAAGGACGGAGCCGGCTGCCGCTCGGGAGAAAAAACAAACCAAGCAGGGAGAGGCTACGGCCACGGCCATTACTTACCAAGGCTCTCGCGCGTATTCCTCCATCTTCGTCCCGGTTTCCACACAGCGGCGTGACGCGCAGAGTCAGACGTTTGCCGGCTTGTGAATCAGGCGGTTTTCGGGCCCCGCCGACGACAGGCGCAGCCATTGGCTGACAGTCCTTGAAGGGGCCGGCTCAACTTAACGAGGCCCGGTTCCGGACCTGAGCGGCGCCCACGTGTTGCCCTCCGACCGCCTCGGGGACGCCAGGCCGAAGGGAAAGCTTAGGAGGAAAATTAGCTGGATTCCGGCGTGGGATCTCGGTGCTATAAATGAGCGCGAGGGGGGAGGGGAGGAGGGGCATTCCCCAAAAGTGGGGTTTTCTAGCATCAGGGGTACCGCAAGAAAGCACTGTTAAATTGTCCTGAGGGAAGGACAAGAAGCAATGGGTGGAAACTAATAAAGGAGAGAAGCAAGAAGAACTAAGGAGAAATTTCCTGACAGTTAGAACAATTAAATCAATGGAACAACTTGCCTCCAAAAATTGTGAATGCTCTAACACTGGACGTTTTTAAGAAGATGTTGGATATCCATTTGTCTGAAGAGGTGTAGGGTTTCCTGTCTAAGCAGGGAGTTGGACTAGAAGATCTTCAAGGTCCCTTCCAACTCTTATTCTATTCTAAATGATCTGTGTTGATCGATTCAGTATACTCGATTCAATGGACACTATTTTTTTATAAAGGTTTTTTTATTTTTAAACAAAAAGACATAAAACACATACAACCTTCTTCCATTTCATATAGCTTGTCGTTTGATTACAAAATTTTGTGCTTCCTCCACATAATTATGTATCGAGTCACAAATTGTTCATTAGATAAACATAAGTACATTATTAGCATATATATATGAATTATTCAAGTGTAATTATTCCTTAATTTTGAACGAGTTATTCTAAGTATTGAATTCATANTATGCCATAATCATCACAATTATGACAAACCACAGCTTGAACTATCTTGCATGTAATGACTTATCTCATATATTAGTTTCACCTTTTAAGTTGCATTACTGAAATAAATGAACTTTTGCACGATATTCTAATTTTTTTAGTTTCACCTGTACTTTATACAATATGCTATTATAATTACATATATAACATTTTTGTCACCTCTTAATTTACTTTAACCTTTTTATTCTTTATTTCTATTCTCCACTCAATTATACCATGTGTCCCAAATTAAATAGTATTCCATTTCTTCTCTTTTACTTCCAATGTTAGCCTATCCATCTCCGCACATTCTAACACTTTTTTTTATCACCATTCCATCAGAGGGGATGCTATCGTTTTTTCAGTTTTGTGCAAATGTGATTCTGGCTGCTGTTATTATGTGTAACGTGATATATTGTTTTTTTTTACAGTAATTTCCTCTTAGTATACCTAATAAAAATAATTCCAGTTTTAAATCTATTTGTTGTTTAGTAATTTCTTCTAGCCCCAAAACCTTTCACTCTCAGTGCGAAAAGCATTTTGCAAGCCAACAGGATTCTGAAAGCAACGCGTATCACTTTCAGCATCCCATCGGCTTGCAAATACTTTTCATGCAGAGGTTCTGGGGGCTGTGATCTTGGGCAACTTCAGGCACCCGCGTGCTTTTAGAGAGAATGGGTGCCTGAAGTCACGCAAGATCATGGCCCCCAAAACATTTCACTCTCGGTGCAAAAAGCATTTGCAAGCTGATCAGTAGAAGCTGAACAGTAGGGTGGAAGTATGGTTGATGGATATAAGTTTTATGGGGCCTGTTTTAATTGGTTATTTTGTTTTAATTATATTGTGGTTTTGATTCTTGCTTGTTGCCCAAAGTTGTTTCTGGTAGATGAATGGCTATATGTGCTTGTTTGTTTAATAAATAAGTAAAATAAATAAAATAAGTAAAAATAAAGATAACATTCTCCATCCCCTGGAGGTTTTTAAGAAAAAGCTGAATAGCTATTTCTCAAGTGTGGGTTAATTGGTTTTCCTGCATACTGCAGAGAGTTGGATTACATGATACTTGTGGATCCTTCCACAATTATATTTTATTATTTCAGAGAAATAGGCATTTTTTAAAATGTGCTTCATGTTGTACATATAAATAAATATAACATATATAATTTTATAAATTTAAAATATAAAAAGTTATTTTCACTGAATTCATTATTTCCAAAACTCTGTATTTAGGTACTATAGAAAAAATAATCATAAACTTGTCCCTAGAAATTATTTTAACTCACCACTGGGGAATTTCGGAATCCTTTGATGGCTTGAAAGATGCCTCCACCAATGGCTCCCATTGTGAAAGCACCACCACAATCATCCACTATTCTCCAGGGGCTAAATATATATATATATACATATATGTAAATCTTGTAACTTGATCACAGCAAACAATTCCTCAGATACTACAGCTTCAATGTATTATGTCCATTAGCTTTCTAACAAATGCACACCCCCCAAAAATCAAAACAAAAACCAACAGACAAATACAGTATATGTTTCAAGATTATTTTTTATTGTGGACCCTCTAACTACAGTCTTGTATGTTGCACAAAAGATCTTGTCAGAAGAAAGAAATCAACACAGAAATCATCTGAAAGATCTAGGATTGCTGGTAAAAAAAACAAAGAAAATAAGATTATTGTGCTTTACCAAATAACATCTATTCTACAGTATTAAAAGACATATGTGATTGATTGAACTTCTGTACTACACAAATATCCAGGAGACAATGGAAAATAGGGGAGTCTGGAGTCCTATGGTCCATGGAGTCATGAAGAATCGGACAGTACTTAGCCACTACACAACGACGCAAAGATGATGCGCTAATGGTAGCTGCGCTGTAGCAGTGTTGAGGGGAGAGCCTTGCAACATGCCCTAATAAAGGCCCATATTTTTGCATAACGGAGTGAGCTTCCAATACTTTTGTGTTTCAGAAAAGCAGCAGAAAGCCAAGGTGGCGCAGTGGTTAAATGCAGCACTGCAGGCTACTGCTAGATCAGCAGTTCAGCGGTTCAAATCTCACCGGCTCAGGGTTGACTCAGCCT